TTATCTGTATAAACTTAATTATTAACTATTAAAATACTTAACTACTGGGCCTCCCTGGTGGCACAAGGAGTTAATACATGGCACTATGAAGCTATCCACAGCCACTTCAGCACAAGTTTGATCCCCGGGCAGGGAGGTGACCCACATGGCACAGCAGACCTCTCTTGTCTCGCCCACTGCTCCCCTCAGCAGTGTATTTCAGTCAGTCCATCTGTTCTGCTCCCCACTCTGTCTCTGGTGAATTCTCTCACCCCCTCCATCTCTGGCCTGTACCCCAGCTCTTGTATGCATAAATAAATAAATCTTTAAAGAAAATAATTAACTACCATTTGACGACATAAAATAATTAAGCTTTAATATGGGACCAAACATGAGGGGAGCAACGGGCTGGACAGGAGAAGTCTGCTGCGCCATGTGGGTAGTTCCCTGGCTGGCCGGGGATCGAACTCATGCTGCAGAGGCTGCGGATAGCTTCATAGTGCTCTGCCTAACCCCTTGTGCCACCAGGGAGGTCCCAAGCATAAGGACTTTTGAGTGGCAAAATGTGCTAGAATTATTTAATAAGACTGAACTAACTAGGTCCTCCCTGGTGGTCCAGGGATTAAAGTCTCAGCACTATCAAGCTATCACCAGCCTGAGTTCAATCCCCCGACAGGGAGCTAATATACCTGGTGCAGCAGACCTCTCCTGTCTTGCCCTCTGCTCCCCTAGCAGCTTATTTCAGTAGATCCTCCTGTTCTGTTTCCCACACTGTCTTTGGTGAATGCTTTCACCCCCACCCTACACCTCTGGCTTACATCTCAGTTCTTACATGCATAGATAAATAAATCTTAAAAAAAAAAAAAAAAAAAGACTGAACTAACTAAAAGTTTCAGACATAATTCACTTATATAAATGCAAAACTTGCAGATAGTCTTAAGTGCCCTTGAGGCAACCCCTACTTCCAAATCCAATGTTATATAAGAAGGACGATGATGGAGCCGTGGAAAAACCATGTGAAACACCAAAACCCTAAAGAGTTGGAAAGAATGGAAGAGTAAGCACACCTCGATGACAGGAAGAAATAGGATGTGTTTGTTCCATACTTGATAAGTTTTCTCTTCAAACCACCAGTCATCTTATGGATGAAGTCTAACTTCCTTAAAGCTTTCCTAAGCTTTCATTACCCAACAATGATTACCTTAGGAATTTAGAGTCTTGGTCTTGGGCTCTAAGAGATTAATGAAAGATACTTCAGGGGGTGAAAAGGATCTTTGTTTTCCCTGCATCTCCCCAACCACCCCACCCACTTCCTGCCTTCCCAGCTGGAGCTTCCTCAGGGAACCATTTTCAAACCTCCTTCCATAATTAACTTCCTCCTCTCATGCATCTCAAAGTCCTTTGTACCTCTCCTTCTTGACCTTATTAGTGTTGTTACAATTTTGTATTTGATTCTTTGAATCATCTGTCTCTGTATTAAACTGTGATTTTCAGACTATTGACAATGACCCACTGGAACAAACAGACTTTGGTATAAGTTAGAACTCAAAGCTCATGAAACATACCTAGCTTTGCCTTGTAAAAGATATTGTGAGCTTTTGTTTTTAATTCTGATCATGATTCACTAAGCTGATACAGCAAGTGCAGACAGAACAACTATCTGATGACAGGGAGAACCATGCACTTTTTTCACACCATTACATTCTAACATCATACGGAGACCAGTGAGATAGTTGGATTAACAAATGACTGGATGAGAAGCTCAACTTTAAACTGCAGTTTGCTGTTCTATGTTAGACTCCCTTTGAAAAAAGATTTCACTTCTTAATCTAGAAAACCACTGAGAAGAATACATACTTGTTCCTAGTCTTCATGAAAATAAGGATAGGACGTGACACTAACTTTGGCAGCATAGGATCACAGTACTATTAACAATCAAACATGAAGATGTATGTAATATGCATGTGTTGGGCAGGGGTGTTTAGGCGTCTTCTCAATTCTGCCCATTGTCTCCATTCTATTCTTTTTTTAAAAAAAAGATTTATCCATTTATTTATACAAGCACTGGGTACAGTCAGAAGCGCGGGAGGGTGAGGGAATTCACCAGAGCCAGAGCGGGGAGCAGAGCAGGCAGAAGGACCGAAGTGCACTGCTGAGGGGAGCAGCGGGTGGCAGGAGAGGTCTGCGCGCCATGTGGGACCCTCCTGTGGTGGCCGGGGAGCAGCCGGGGATCGAACCGGTGCTGCAGAGGCTGCAGGCAGCTTCGCAACCCAGCGCTCAACCGCTGCGCCACCGGGAGGCCCTGTCTCCATTCTATTCTATACCTTATTTGGGACAGGGCAGTTATTGAAGAAGTCAAAGAGGGAAGGAAATAAAGAAAAGTATTTTCTTGGTATTGCCAAGCAGAGGAACCCTGTCTGTGTTCACAGAGTATTAACTTTCTCAGAGTAGTTTTGAGAGGCATGGCCATGTCTTGAGGACTTTCAGGTGAGGCTAAATTGTTTTAAGAACAGAATAGAGGGCCTCCCGGGTGGTGCAGGGGTTAAAAAGTCTCAGCACTATCAAGCTATTGTCAGTCACTATGGCCCGAGTTCCATCCCCTGCCAGGGAGCTGACCCACATGGGCACTATAGACCTCCCCTGTCTCATCCAGTGCTCCCCTCTGCAGTGTATTTCAGTGGAGCCACCTGTTCTGCTCCCCACTCTGTCTCTGGTGAATCCGCTTACCTCCCCCCTCCTGCCCCCCACCCCTCACCTCTAGCCTACACCCCAGTTCTTGTCTGTGATGTCAGTTTTTGGAGTCAGTGTGTTTGGAGTGGGTTCACTCTGGGAAAGATTTCACCAGAGCTTCCCTTTCAGCAGCACGCAGTGAGTTTCCCAGGGAGTTTCTCCACGAGGCAGAGACATTGGTTATATTTCAAGAGCAGGTTTGTTAGGGAAAGGGACAGAAGAGTGTAGGGTACATGAAAAACGATCAGGCTTTTCTGCCCTCCTGCCATTAGCATCAATGTTGGATCCCTGTGATCCTACATGCATGCCTGATGGTGGACACCTGGAGTAGGGTGTGGGCAGGCATAGGTGGGCACACCTGGGCAGACACAGGGCTTATAAGGGCGGCGTCACGGGGACGCCAGCAGAAGAGAAAGAGGAGAAAACAAGAGAGAAAGCAACAGCAGAGCCAGCAGAGCAGCAAAGGAGAAGCAGAGACCATGAGAGAATGCCAGAGAGCACAGAAGGAGTGAAGATTCGCCAGTCAGGGAGACAGGGGCCTCCCAGCCCCACCCTAGTCCTCCTGCCTTGTAGAAAGTTTAATGAAAGTCTGAAAAGCCACCGAGGGCTCCAGGACTCTCCTTTACCCATCCGCCTGGATCAGAGATCCTGCACCGGGCCTCCCCATGGCTGCAAAGAGTAAAGGACACTTGCATAGGCAAGGGGGCAGAAAGAGGTGCCCCGAAAGGGACAGGTTTGCTGAGAGAGGCCTGCATGGCTGCAGCCAGGCGACCTTGAGGAGAGCTGCCTCCGCGGAGGGAGGTCAGTAAAGGGAAGTCCATGGGCAGGCAGGAAGCTGCTGCCCTGCAGAGGGAGAGAGTTGGTGAAAAGAAGCACCTGCATAGACACAGGTGGGCAGAAGGACGGCTGCCTCCTGGTGGGGGCAGCGTTAGGTTTTATCATCTTCAGGGAGGGGCTCATCTTTGTGGGTGGATGGTTTGTGCCCCTGACGCTCCATTCAGCAGTCTGATAGTTTCTGGGTGTTGCGCCTTCTGATGTGGGCGTTGATGCCTAAGGGTCTTGGTTTCTATAACTGTGTTAATGGATTATGCTAATCCCCTCTATTCCTACCTCCTTGTGTGAGTTAGGTTCTTGACCTTGTATCTCCTTTCCAGTTTTTCTATTCTTATCCTCCATCATATGCATAAATTAAAAAAACAAATCTTAAAAAAAAGCATTTAAAAGGGCTCAGAACACTGTATGACACTATTTCTAGATTTATCTTAAAGTATTTAATCTTCCAGAATTAATAATTTACTATTTACTTAACATTTAAGATGGCCTTTAAAACAAAAAATTCTACTTGATATTTTGGCCTTTAATTTAGAGGTCATGAAGTTTTCTTGTCAAAAAGAAATCAACTGTGAAATCTCAGGTTGATGAGAATAAATGACTAGGTAATTTGATAAAATTTTTACGTAAATTGGCTACATCAAGGCTTAGGAGAGAAAGGATTGGGTAGAAAAAAAATATCAGAGTAGAAAAATAGGCTGCCTCAGCAGAGGAGGGGAGGGAGTAAATGTGGTCTATTTGAAGGATACTGGGCATAGGATTAAGAAGAGATTGTAGGTGGGGAGTGTTGCTTGAGATCAAGGAAATGTACTTAAGATTCCATAGGGTAAAGCCAGATTTTGAAAGTTCAGGTAGCAAGTAGAACTTTCTCCAGTCTGAATGTTAAAAACAAACAAACAAACAAAAAAACCAACCCTGAACTTTGTTTAGCAAGGGTTGAGTGCCATGAAATTTTTCCAAAGACTGAACTATAAAACATGGGAAGCCGTGCAGATTTTCTGCCTACGGAGGCCAACTATGCTGTAATTGTCCCCTGGCCTCCCATCTACAACATATTCCTCAACCAGGTAGTTATTCCTACTCTTGATTTTTTCCTACCTACAAATACAGCAAGTCCCTTCAGCAAACAATGAACTCAGACATTGTTCACTACGGAAAATATTTAGTAGATTAAAATAAAATCCAACCTCTAGGAAGAAAAGACAGTCTGATTTTAGGGTAGTGGCTTGTAGAAGGGCTTCTTCCTATGAAATTGTTAATATCCAAGAGGTTCATTTAAAAAGCACATAAAGAGCACTCTGGTAGAAACTACTGAAGGCCTAGGAGATGTAACAAAGAACAAATCTTCACCTCTCTGCAGAGATGAAACTTCAGACCAAGGTCGCTGGCTATTCATTAGAAATGTAAATTAAGACTCCGCCCCACACCTAGCAAATCAGAGCCTCCAGGGTGGGGTCCAGAAATCTGTTGTCATAAACTCAGATGATCCTAATGCTCACTAAAGTTTTATAACTACTCCCTTAGATTTATTGTATGCCTGTGATTTGAAAGTTATTGGAGCAGCTGAACAGATAAAGGCCCTTTCATCTCCATTATTGTGGCTGTCCTCCTAAAGGAAATAGTGAGGATTACAAAGAAAGGTAAGCTTTTCGATCATTTCTGAATTCATGGTTTTCTTTAAGTGTAGCATTTCTGTATTCTTTAAATACCTAAACTTGATCTTGGCATCTCTGGAGACTTGTATTTATGTGATGCAACAATATAAAAGAACAATAAAGCCAGAGAAAACATACAATTAGGGAAAATAAAATAAGGGTAGGTATAAACCTGGCACATAGATAACATATCAGGGGGACGAATTATTCTCTAGCTTTCCTCTTTTGGTTTCTGTAAGAATGTTTCATCTCAATGATCTGACTTCTTGCCTTGAACTAGTTTGATTTAAAGCATTAAAAAGTATTTTCGGACATCTAATTTGTCAGGTATAGGCAAAGGGCATCCATTTTTTCATGGATGGAGAGAGCTTAAGTAAATTTGTTTACATATAAAACCAGATTTTTAAAAAATTGATATCACTGGTGGAAGGTATTTCCAATTGGATGGTTATAGAAAGGCCTCTCTGAGGCAGTGACCTTTGAGCCAAAAACTAAAGGAAGAAAGGAGCTAGAATTGCAAGATTTTGAGAGAAAAGTTTTGCCAGCTGAGGGAGCAGAAAGGTCACAGATGAATTTGTCATAATTGGAATTTACAGCAGTTGGGGGAAAGTTATAGATGAGATTGGATGTAAACAGGGGCCAGGCCATCTAGAACTTGGTTAGGCATTTGGATTTTATCCTAAGTGCAATGAGGTATTTCTCGAAACCTGATTTAGGTTTTAAAATAGTATCCTGGCTATTGAGCTGAGAGGAGATGGAGATGGGAGGGGGTAGGATGGAATGTGAATTAGCTGAGATGATAAAATGATGGTGGTTTAAACTCTGCTTCTAAATGAATAAATTTTAAAGTGAATTGGGGGGAAGAAAGGTATTGGATTGAAATCCAGAGCAGTGTTTTGGATATGTTAATTTGGGGTGCTTATTATGCATTTAATTGCAAATGAGTTGGAAGTCCTGTATCTGCATAGAATTCTTGAGAGTGGTACTTGAATTTGTGAAATAAATAAAATTACTCAGGGAGATATGGTAAAACAAAATAAGGGACTAGCACTGAACCTTGAAGCACTCCAAAACTTAGGGGTGTAGGAAGACAGGAGGCTGTAAGAGAACACTGAGAAACAGATCACTAAAGTGGAAAGTATCAGGCACAGTATAATCTTGATAGGAAAAGGAAGAAAACATTCCAAGAGGAGATCATTGTCAATGTGATAACTACTACTTAGAGCTCCATTAAGAGAAAGCCAGGAGTGACCACTCAATTTATAAATTCGTTCATTTTGTGACTGATAATCTTTTCAGTTGAAATGTCTAGGGTGTGTTAGAGGAGGGATACAGGAAGTCACAAACAAGGGTGTTGAAAGACCCAGTCACTTAAATAAAATTGGAGCAAATTCAAAACCAAATGACTAGAAGAGAGAAAATATTTGCAAATTGTATAACAAGGGAGTCACCTTTTCAAAGTGTCTTTGAACATCCAGAAAAAAAAAAAAAAAGACCAAAAGCCAGGTAGAATAAAATGGGTGAAATAATTAAACAGTTTATTAAAAAAAAAAAAAAGAAAATTACTCTTAAGCATAGGAAAAAATAGCTTTTAATTTCTAGCCTATCAAAAGTTCAGGTTTGTGTTTCTTACATCTATCCCAGCATTCAATCCATTGCAACAATATTTTTATTGACATATAAAGAAAATTTGTCCTCACATATATGTAGTTGGAAAAGTAAAGAGAGTTCTAGTAGATTTTTCAGATAATCATGTTTTTTTCTGGAATCATATCAATGAACATTTTGTCCTGTTACCTTAAAATCCATTGATCTGTCTTAAACATTGACTCTGCTTGAATAATCTTGTAACGTAAAGCATTGGTCTATTAGAAAATACTTGTTCAGATTGCAAATTTTCCAAATGTTGACACATTTGTTATATAATATAAAAAAAATTCATTTGTTAATATTGCCACCAATTTCATCAGAAAGGATGCTGTCAAGGTATTGGGAAACTGCCAAGCTTACAATAGAGCATACAGTTTCTCAAAACTGATTATTTGCTTAAAAGCTCAAATTTTGTCATTGGCAGTTAATATATTCAAGGGTTGCCTCAAAATGACAGGGTCGCTTTGTTTATGTAAGAGAAAATATCTTCTAATTTACTCCATCTAAGCAGTTTGCTTCATTTGTTTTTTTTTTATTTAGAATATTTTATGAAAAAAAACAGTGAATAATTGCAACTCAAATTTTTCTTGAGACAACCATTGTATTTCCATATGCAGCAGAAGAGCTTTATGCATAAAATGCTTTATGCATTCTTTCCATTTTATCACCCAGAATATTAATGAAATAATCCTTCACTCCAGGGCTGAAATTTAATATTTTACTACTTCATTGGGAAACAAAAAAATTTTTAAGTAAAACTGGCCTTTCTCAAAAAAAGGAGTATGCAAGTATAAAGAGTTTTTTTTTTTCTTTTTTAGGAGTTTTTTGTTTTTTAAGTAGTGTGAGTGACTGCAGTACTTTTAAGGCTATTTCCTTGGTTAATGGTCAGAAGTCAACAGTTTTATTTACTCTCAGTGAAAAAGACAGATCAAGTCTTGGGAATCGCACTTTGGAAACTGCTGCTTTATTGTTTTCAAATGGCACTGTTTCATTGCAATTTTCAAACAACATAAAGAGGTGACCACTCTTATGCTGGGCCATACTGTTAGGGAAAAATTATGTCCTGAGCTAATCCCATACAGGCTTTGTGGACTCCACTCCCAGTCCAGACTAAAGCCATCAAGACATTGGGAAAGACAAATCCCATCACCACCAAAGGGAGGGTGGCTGGGACCTGAGGGTGGAGTTAAGCAGCCAGGTTGGGTATAAAAACCAAACACGTGGACCTTGGGGGGCTGGCTGTCCCTAGCCTCCTGGCTTCACGGCTCCTGGCTTGCAGCCAGCTCTCAGAGCGCCATTTGGGATTCCTGATCAGCGGATCGGGTAGGACGCATTTAAAACTTTGTCTCCCACTTTTCTCCCTGAGCTGTACATTTCCTCATTTCCCCTTCCCTTGTAAATAAACCTTTTATTAACCTTTCGTGTGTGCCTGCAGTAGAGCATTGATAAGTCCTTTTAAGGGCGTGGGTGAGGACCCACAGTCAGGCACCCCGTTTTGTATCGGGGTTGCTCTACAACAATACTAGTAATGACAAAGGTGGAGACAAAGAGTAACAAAACGAGTCATTTAAAAGTATTTCAGGGCCTTTCTGGTGGTGCAAGGGGTTAAAGCACTGCTCTATGAAGCAATCCACAGCCTCAGTAGCATGAGTTTGATCCCTGGCGGGCCAGGGAGCAACCCACATGGCAAGGCAGACCTCCTGTCTCATACACTGCTCCCCTCAGCAGTGTATTTCAGTCAGTCGGCCTGTTCTGTTCCCCACTCTGTCTCTGGTGAATCCTCTCACCCCCACCCCTGCAACTCTGGCCTGCACCCCATCTCTTGTATGCATAAATAAATCTTTAAAAAAAAAGTATTTCAAATTTCACGGCAGCAATCAGGCAAGACAGCCCCGTATTTCTAGCCAATCACTTCCAATGACAGGGATCTGAATGAACCCGGATCATAGTAAAAGAACAATCACATTTTCTTCTGATCGTTTACATCCTAGTCATGTTATAGAGCAGTCCCGACATTGAACGGGTTTATGGTGACCAACGCAAGAAAAAATTACTTTGGGCTGGTCAACCACGGGTTGGAAAACACGTTGGGTGCCAAGCTGTTATAGAGCAGTCCCGATATTGAACGGGTTCCTGGCTGTGGGTCCTCACCCGCACGCTTAAAAGGGTCTTATTATACTCCACTACAGGCACACACAAAAGGTTAATAAAAGGTTTATTTACAAGGGAAAAGGAAATAAGGAAAATGTACAACTCAGGGAGAAAATAGGGAAATAAAGTCTTTAATGCGTCCTACCGGATCCGCCGACCTGGAAACCCAAAGGCACTCTCAGAGCTGGCCGGACGCTGTGAGCTGGCGGAGAGCCAAAATGGGGGAATCCCCCAAAGCCCACATGTCTGCCTTTTATATCAACCTGGCTGCTTAACCCCACCCTCAGGTCCCAGCCACCTTCCCTTTGGTGGTGATGGGATTTGGAGTTCCCAGTGTCTTTGGCTTTGGCCTGGGGTGGGGGTGGAGTCCACAAAGCCTGTATGGAATTAGTTTTAGGACATCTTTTCCCCCCTAACAGTCATACTACACACTACACACAATCTGCCTTCACCAGATTTTTGTAAACCTCATCTTAAAATAGGTAATAACTATTGTGCATCATCACAATGAAAACTAAAACAATAATGTGGTAGGCGCCAGAGTATCCCTGCTGGCAGGGTCCTTCATTTCACCGGTTTAACAAAGTTTTGAGGGCTTCCCTGGTAGCACAAGCGGTTGAGTTTAAGCACTACTATGAAGCTATCTGCAGGCACTGCAGCACCAGTTCAATCCCCTGCCAGGGAGCTAACCCACGTGGCACAGCAGACCTCTCATTCCCCCTGTTCTGCTCCCCATTCTGTCTCTTGTGAATCCTCTCTCACACCCACATCCCCCCCTCCCTCTGGCCTGTACCTCAGTTCTTGTATGCATAAATAAATCTTTAAGAAAATAAAGAAGTGGGCCTCCCCTGGTGGTGCAGCGGTTGAGCGCTGGGCTGCAAAGCTGCCCGCAGCCTCTGCAGCGCTGGTTCGATCCCTGGCCACCGGCGAGGGTCCCACATGGCGCGCAGACCTCTCCTGCCGCCCGCTGCTCCCCTCAGCAGTGTATTCCATCAGTCTGCCTGTTCTGTTCCCAGCTCTGTCTCTGGTGAATTCTCTCACCCTCCCACGCTTCTGACTGTACCCAGTGCTTGTATAAATAAATAAATAAACCTTAAAAAATAAAAAGAAAAAAAAAATAAAGAAGTTTTGGGCCTCCCCGGTGGCGCAGAGGTTGAGCGCTGGGTTGCAAAGCTGCCCGCGGCCTCTGCAACGCCGGTTTGATTCCCGGATCCCCAGCTGCTTCCCGCTGGTGGAGGGTCCCACATGGCGCACAGACCTCTCCTGCCAAGCCCACTGCTCCCCTCAGCAATGTACTTCGGTCCTTCTGCCTGTTCTGCTCCCCGCTCTGGCTCTGGTGAATTCTCTCACCCTCCCGTGCTTCTAACTGTACCCAGTGCTAGCATAAATAAATAAATCTTTAAAAAAAAAAAAGAAGTTTTGATTTACATTTCTCATCAAGCCCCATATTCAGAAGCTTAATCAGCAGGCTCAAGAAAAAAAGTCTAAAAGGCAGTCCCATTTGGGGTGATGAGAGGAGGGTGAATGTGTTTTACATGAAACATAAAATGAAGTTCCTCTTTATTTAAAAAAAATTAATTGTAAAAATATAATTCTATTTCTTTTTTTTTAAAAAAAAATAAAATATAATACTATGTAAGACAGGATTTAAACCCCAAAAATCTTTCTTGAAATTGTTGATCTTGAGGAAGCAACTGGTGTTTAGCCACACCCTCCTAGGGCAGGCAACCTCCACCTCCCTTGCTGCTGAGATCAGCATCAACTTCCTTCAGCACCGCCAATGGCCAGTCCCTCCTCTGGGTGTCAGTCAAAGTCACTGGACTTTCATCCCTACAGCCTGATGAGCCTGGAAGGAAGTGACAATACAAAGGAGGTTCAGATTCTCTTTGGCTCCTTCAGCTATTCACTGCACAGCATGGACAGGGTAGAACCACTTCCAATTCCCAGCATTTCAATTATTTTTCTTGCCAGGCTGTGCTGCCAGCCCTCTTCTCTGCTCCTTCCGCCTAACAAAACAGCAGTCATTCTATACACAAGGCTAATCAACTTCGGAATTATAAAAATGTTTTGCATATTTTTTTTAAAGATTTATTTATTTATGCATACAAGAGCTGGGGTACAGGCCAGAGGTGCGGGGGGGTGAGAGTTCTCACCAGAGACAGAGTGGGGAACAGAGCAGGCAGATTGACCAAAGTACACTGCTGAGGGGAGCAGCAGGAGAGTCAGGAGGGGTCTGCTTCATCATGTGGGTTGCTCCCTGGCCAGCTGGGGATCGAACTCGTGCTGCAGAGGCTGCAGATTGCTTCATAGTGCGGTGCCTAACCCCTTGAGCCACCAGGGAGGCCCCTGTTTTGCATATCTTAAATTAAAAAATAACTAAAGGACAGATGGGCTAGTGTTGGCAAAGAAAGTTGGGGTGGAATAAGCATGAAAAGAGGAAGAAGGTTGTAAAATCAAAAGTGGAAGCGGAGTTCTGAGGTCTGTCTGGTGGGTTCCTTACAAGAGAGACACTGTCAAAAGAGATGGTTCATGAGGTCGAGTGGAGACAAACATGGACAGGGATATTTTATGAAAGGAGCACTTGGTATTAGGATGTCACCCACTGGAGATAGACAAGACTAAGGAATTCATTGGGGTAAGAGTTTACCAAATTCAAACGTTTGAAGAATATAATTAACAGGGCAGCTCACTTCCTACCTGTGTCTTTGCAGGCTCTTCTCTTTTTTTCTTTTCCTAAATAAACTGGTCGTGTGCTTATAAAAAATATATATGATCAGATTTGTCTAGAAATGGGCATGCAGACTATTAGATCCCTGTTACAGGTCCTGTTTCGTTAGAAAAAAGGGTGCGGGTTTGCAGTTTCCCTTTAATATAGATATGTATTTTTTGCATATATTTTTTTAAAGATTTATTTATGTATACAAGAACTGGGGTGTTGGCCCCAGTGGGGGAGGGGGAACTGAGAGGATTCACCAGAGACAGAGGAGGGGAGCAGAAAAGGGGGATCCACTGAAATACACTGCTGAGGGGAGCAGTGGGTGAGACAGGAGAGGTCTGCTGCGCCATGTGGATCACCTCCCTGGCCAGGGAAGGAACTCCTGTCAATGACTAGTAAGTTCTTGATAGCGTGGTCTTTATCCCCTGTGCCACCAGGGAGGCCCCAAAGAAAGTTTTATTTCTTTGGGGGGTGCTGGTCCTCCCCGCTAAACCTGCACCTTTTTATTTATTTATTTTTTTAAAAAGAGGCATGTATTTTTATTTATTTATGATTTATTTATTTGTTTTGTTTTCTTTATACAGCACTGGGTATAGTCAGAAGTGCGGGAGGGTGAGAGGATTCACCAGAGCCAGAGCGGGGAGCAGAGCAGGCAGAAGGACCGAAGTACACTGCTGAGGGGAGCAGCGGGCGGCAGGAGAGGTCTGTGCGCCATGTGGGACCCTCCTCTGGTAGCCAGGGAGCAGCCGGGGATCGAACCGGCGCTGCAGAGGCTGCGGGCAGCTTCGCAACCCAGCGCTCAATGCAACCCAGCGCTCAACCGCTGCGCCACCGGGGAGGCCCCCTGTACCTTTTTAATCAGTGCTAGCTCCCTGATAACACCAGATTGCTATAAAGACTTGAAAGGCAAAATTCAAAAATGGGCGCATGCGCACCTATGAGCCTCCAAGCCAATACCACCTTAACACGTCATCCAGATACACCTTTCACTTAAGGAGGCACCAGAGAGATCCTTGCTTTCTGGTTCCTGCAATCACTGGAAACGAGTGATTCCTTAAATGAGTGCCTTGAAGGTCTAATCTGGGCTTTACCTCCACCTAGCCCTGGATTTTCCTCCAGTGCTCATTAATGCATTGGGCCACTGAGCACCTTAGAGGGAGCTCTGATCTCACTTACAACTAATATCTTCTACCAATTGCTCAAAATTCTCTGAAATTTTGAGAGAGGCCCTCTAAGAACACTGCAGCAAGTCGTCTCCTTCCCGAGCACGGGCTGCTGAAAATTTTCTCGATTGGGGAAAGAAGGTCAGAATATGCTTTATCTCTCGGTCCGCTTGGACTGTAGCCTTGGGTCTTTGGTGCTTGACCGTGGACACTGAGGCTGACAATAGTGTCTGCTTCAAAACTGAGGGAGCCCCTCACTCTTCTGTTCTGCGTGCAGGGACGTACTCATCAGCAACAGCCCAGTCTTCTACTGGCTACCTGCCGGGATGTCCAAAATATTCAGACCCGGGTTACAGCAAAAAATCCCAGAAGATGCCTACTGTGAGAAGCACCGGGAGCTTCTGCAGCTCTTCTGTGATGATGACCAGACCGCACTTTGTGGCAAGTGCTTCCAGTCCCAGGAACACAAGCACCACTTGGTGTCTGGAGTCCGAGAGGCTTCGGAAAAGTACGGGGTAAGCTTCCTGCAGATCCCAGCCCACTTGGCTGCTTCCTTTCAGTAACTTGCTTGTTTGGGAGATAGATGTTCAAGATCACGAAGGCCATTCCTTTAGTTGAGGTGTGTCAAAGAATACTAGGCAAGTCGTACCATATTTAAACAGTCGTACCATATTTAAATTCGTTTAAATATGGTATTTCTACCACCTATTTAAACATCTTTTAACTTCCAGGTTCAGAAAACATATAATTCAGGCTGTTGACCTTCTAATCGTCTAAGTTTAGGAGTACCACTGTTCTTTTCTCTTATTGAGTTATAGTTGACATATAACATTAGTTTCAGGTGTACAACATGATTTTTTTTAAAGATTTATTTATTTATGCATACAAGAACTGGGGTACAGGCCACAGGTGAGGGTGGCATGAAAGGATTCACCAGAGACAGAGTGGGGAACAGAACAGGTGGATTGAATGAAATACACTGCTGAGGGGAGCAGCAGGCGGCAGGAGAGGTCTTCATGCCATGTGGGACCCTCGCCCGGCAGCTGGGGATCGAACAGGCACTGCAGAGGTTGTGGCAGCTTGACAGCCCAGCGCTCAACCGCTGGGCCACCAGTGGAGGCCCACCAATGCTATTATTTATATAGCCATTTTCGCAGGTGTGAGGTGATATCTCACTATGGTTTTCATTTTGATTTGCATTTCCCTGATTATGAAGTCTATCATTCGTGTTTGAGCATGCGTGCATGTGTGTGTGTGTGTGTGTGTGTGTGTGTGTATACATCTAGATATAAAATCTTCTTTGGAAAATTGTCCATTCAGATCCTCGTCCATTTTTTGACTGGATTGTTTGAAATCAATTACTTTAGAATTCTGTGATATATTTCTCTGCAGAAGTTATTCCAGGAGATATTGAACACATTGAAGGAGAAAATTGAAGTAGCTAAAAGTATATTGGCTGATGAGCAAGAAAGAATGGTGATGATTCAGGTCAGTGCTTACCTCCATTCTTAGAGGAAATGACCTAAAATGTTGGGTAACAAGTAATATAAAGTTAAAAGACATAATAAAGCAGGAAAATATATTTGAAATCCATAGGAGGAAAAATGTTGAGCTCTTAACATATAAAGAGCTTTTAAATGTCAATAAGCAAAAGACTGGAAACTCAATAGAAACATGATCAAAGAAATGAGAGTTGACAGAGAAAATGCAAATACCTTCAGAAGATGTGAGGAGATTCTGAACTTGTGTTCATGGAAAATTAGAAGTAACCATATCTAATTTGTTAGTGAGAAAATATTTACACTCCTTTTAACGGTGTCATAAAATGGCAAGCATCGCATGTCTTTTTGGTGGTAATATAAATCCTGAAATAAAGGGCAATTCGAGAATTATTATCCAAATTGACAGCAAGTTATGCAGTATATGCAGGTTTCACTTCTGATTTCAAACTCTCCCTTGGTGTTTATTATTTTATACTAGGTATTCCAGATTCTCAATTTTCTCTCTTTCAGTTTTTTCTTTTTTTAAAAGATTTATTTATTTATGCATACAAGAGCTGGGACACAGGCCAGAGATGTGGGAGGAGAGAGGATTCACCAGAGACAGAGTGGGGAGCAGAACAGGCAGACCGACTGAAATACACTGCCGAGGGGAGCAATGGGCGAGACAGGAGAGGTCTGCTGCGCCATGTGGGTTGCTCCCTGGTGGGCCGGGGATTGAACTCGTGCTGCAGAGTCTTCGGATTGCTTCATAGTGCTGTGCTTAATCCCTTGCGCCACCAGAGAGGCCCCTCTCTTTCAGTTTTTTAAAGAAAAATGTCCAGTTGAGAATGGTGGCAGGGAAAATTGCCTGTCTGTACAAATTTTTTTAAAATTGATTCCCATTTATTTTTTGCCCAATACTTTATATTCCACAAATAGTGAGGTCCCACAGTTTGCCTGGAACTATGCTAAGTGCTATGCTATGCATTCATCAGTGGGAAAAATAGTTTTCCCTTGTGTATCTGACAATTCTAGTGGAGGTAAATAAAAGAAGTAAAATATATAGTATATTACATCGTAACTACAAGAGATAAACTACCAAACTGTTGGGTGTACTTTTGAATAAAGTGATGAGGCCCTTGTCATTCAAAAAGTGCCATTTTAGGAGACACATGTGCCTTGGGTCTTGGTAAGAATATCATAGTCACAGGGAAGGGCAGGTGCACAGGTCTCAAGACTACTGTGTACTTAAATGAAAAGTCTTGTCCTTATATTGGAGTTAAAGATGGAAAGAGAAATAATTACGGTCAGTCTACAGTATTTAACATGATGTCTATCATATTTATATCTATGATGAAGGGAGAAGAACAGAATTTTAAAGAGATAATTGAATCTGAATTAAGGATAATGTTTCGAGTGATGATTGAAGAGTATATGGTGTACTTCCAGAGCCTACAGGGGTACACATTTGACCTGAAGTTCAGAGCAATCACTCTGAATCAATTGACTGGGTTTGCCAAAGAAGTAGAGAAGTCCCAAGAAGTCCTACAGGTGAGATATTGAAACAACATACTTACATGAGACACCCAGTGAGAACACAGATTTATTTCAAGAATGTTTCTATTTACCCTGTAATTCTGTTTCTGATAATTTATGTTCCATATTACTTACATGTGTATAAATACAATGTGGGTAAAGGAACACGAATTATTTCAGTGTAGAGCTAGGATTTAGAGGTAGTCTTTGATGCCAGATGAATGAGATTCCTCTTTGGGTTTTACTTAATTTATTAGCCTCCAGGTGACCTGGAACGTGTTGCTGAACCTTTGATTAAGTTTCCTTAACTGTAAAATGGGGATAATACTAATGATCCTTAGATCATAACATTCTTGTGAAGATTGAGTGAAAAAAATCTACATTAAGCTCTTTAAATAATATATCCTACACACTTGGAAAGAAGTGAGTAATACTAATAGAACATTTATTGATAGTAAGATATTAGATACAACCTGTATATAAATCTTAATTTAAATAAATCTTAATTTTAATTTAGTGAAAAAAAAAGCAAGCTTTCCAGACAGAACTGCACAGTAAAAAAAATATGCTGTGTTATGTCCAGGTTGTTACCTGAATAAGTGGACTATGGGTGCACAGTCCATGTCAGCATGAATCTATTGTGTCAGAGAATCAGGTTTCTACTGAGGTGTCCCACTTGATACAAGGACATCGTGGCCGCATCTAATTATGCCTATTTTTGAGTTGACAGGCAGTAAAGCAGGTTTTTGAAGAGGTGACTGAATTAACGACTAAGAGAAATACTAGTTTTAAATCGTAACAAGGTCATGTTTCTGCAGAAACTGAATGAGTTGGGGAGAGAGAACATGAATAAATTGAAGGAGAGTGAAGTCAGGGTCTATAAAGAGATCTGCAGCCTCCAGGAGATCACAGAGAAGCTAGAGAAGTGTGAGGGATCTCCCTTCATGTTGCTCCAGGTAAGATTCTAGAAATATGCTTCAATTCAGGATTTGCAAAATGAAAAGCAGACAGAACTCATTGGGGTCTTTTCCAGAACACAATGGCCAATGCTCTTCAACCTATTCATAAAATAGCTGAGATTTTGACGGCTTTATAACTGTTTTTGTTTTTTTTTTTTTTTTTTTTTTTTAATAGAGGCATGTTTTATTTATTTATTTATTTGTTTGTTCATTTGTTTTGTTTATACATGCACTGGGCACAGTCAGAAGCGCGGGAGGGTGAGAGAATTCACCAGAGCCAGAGCGGGGAGCAGAACAGGCAGAAGGACCGAAGTACACTGCTGAGGGGAGCAGCGGGTGGCAGGAGAGGTCTGCGCGCCATGTGGGACCCTCCTCCGGTGGCCGGGAGCAGCCGGGAATCGAACCGGCGCCGCAGAGGCTGCGGGCAGCTTTGCAACCCAGCGCTCTACCGCTGCGCCACCGGGGAGGCCCTATAACTGTTTTTGGATCAAGCATTAGGAATCATCATAAAATCATAACAAAACACTAATTCCTAATATGAGTCCTCGCTTTAAAATTATTAACAATATATTTGAATTGACATGTCTTTTATTTTTTTATTTTTAAAAAAAGATTTATTTATTTATGCATACAAGAGCTGGGGTGCAGGTCAGAGGTGTGGGGGATGAGAGGATTCACCAGAGACAGAGTGGGGAACAGAACAGGAAGATTGACCGAAGTACACTGCTGAGGGGAGCAGCTGGCGAGTCAGTAGAGGTCTGCTATGCCATGTGGGTTGCTCCCTGGCTGACTGGGAATTGAACTCATGCTGCAGTGGCTGCAGATTTCTTCATAGGTTGTGTCTTAACCCTTGCGCCACCAGGGAGGCCCTGAGATATCTTTTAATAGGTAAATAAGTGGTTAGTGACATTATAATACAACAGAATATTCTGCAGTCATAATGAAACAGCTCTTAAGCACTAAATGATTGTCTTCAAGATGGTTCATGAAGTGAAAAGAAGATGTAGGACCGACTTCTTGTTTGGTTTTAAAGATCAGGTACATGCATAAAGACATATATGCTCATTAGCAGTCACATTTTTGCCTCTGGCAAAACTTAAAATATCATTAAATTGGGTAATATTGTTTATTTCACTTTTGTATGGTAATGTACATTAATTACTTTTTCAGTAAACAAATTATCATTTTTTTTTTTTAAATATGCCCTCTGTCAGGAGCATATTTGTACTGTGAATGCTCTTATTTGGGAAGCCCAGAGTCATTCACATCCTTGGTTCCTTTCCAGAGCTAGACCTATACAATGTAGCTTGGTGTGATCTAATTATGCTCAGTTTCTGGCTCTAATCACCCTTCTAGCCTAGCAGGCCCATTCATCTGCTCAATCAAAGGGGCGCCATTTAAATGATGAGTGGCTGAGTTAAGTGTAGAAAAAAATTCACTTGGGAATATACCTTTGGCTTCGAGCATTTTTCTGACTTTTCCCATTCAGTGTTACAATTTGACATGTGAAAATTAACAGCATGAAGCTAAAGAAATTATATGAAAATCAAGTTCATCATTAATAACAAGGTATTTTCACAGGCACAACTCACAGAAGTCACAAATACCCAGTAATAATCTTTTTTATTTTTTCTCCTCTCTTTAGAATGCAAGATATTTTTTGAAAAGGTAAGTTTTCATTTGGGGGATGTTTGAGCCAGAATCAGAGTCTGATGTGAGCACAACAGTAAAGATATCGAGGTTCCGGATGGGGTGGGGAGGGGGGTCATGTAATAAGATCCATACTTTGGACGGAGGGGCCTGGGACCTGCACAGATAATCTGAGATTGTCCTTTCTTTGTAGGAGTGAGTCACTACTGACTCAGTGTCTCCAGCCCGCCCATGTCACAGACCTCAGTCTATTCCAAATCACAGGACTTAGCAAATGGGTGAAGGTGTTCCAAAGTAAGTTGATACACACCCATGACTACAGGGTGTTTTCTTTTTGTATTTAAGAATCAACTGTATTTATGAGGTCATCCTGTCATAAAGGTAAATTCCAGGTAGTTTAAGGATTTAAAAAGATCAGTTTAATATGCTATACACATTAGATAATGATCAAGAAAATAATTGCATGATCTTATCTTTACCAGTTTCCCAGACCAGAAACATAATTGCAAGCATATTCCACTATTAAAAGTTTGAAATATCTTGGGGAAAAATGTCAACATGGGTGACAAGGCACTATCTTTCTTGCCTCATAGTTCTGTCTTTTCTAAAATGTCCTGTCCATGGATTTGCTCATGGTGGTCTTTTGAGTATGGCTTCTTGAACTTAGCATTCTGTAGATTTATGTGGGGTGTGTTCTTTGATGAATTATATCCATATTTTCTCATTTTAAAAATTTTGCTGTATGTTTTCTTGAGATTTCTAATTTCTTTATATATATTCTCATTATCAGTCCTTTATCAGGTAGAGGTTTTCCAAATATTTTCATTTCTCTTGGTGTCTTAAAGGACAGAAGTTTTAAAATTTGTAATTCAGTTTATCAATTGTTTTTTATGGTGTTTGCTTTTTTGTGTCCTTATTTAAGAAATCTCTCCCTATCCTAACAAAGATTCTTTTCTAAAAGTATTACAGTTCTAAGTTTGCTATTTAGGTCTATTACCCATGTAGAGTTAATATTTGTATATGATTCAAGGTAGGTATCAAGGTATGATACAACTCTCCCTCCCCCACCTTTAAAAAAGATTTATTTATTTATGCATTCAAGAACTGGGGTACAGGCCAGAGATGCAGGGAAAGGGGTGAGAGGATTCACCAGAGACAGAGTGGGGAGCAGAACAGGAGGGTCTACTGAAATGGAGTTCTGAGGGGAGCAGCGGGAGAGTCAGGAGAGGTCTGCTGTGCCATGTGGGTAGCTCCCTGGCTGGCTGGGGAGCTGGGGGTCAAACTTGTGCTGCAGAGGCTGCAGGATAGCTTAATAGTGCTGACACTTAACCCCTTGCGCCACCAGGGAGACCCTCCCCCTTTGCTTATATATATATATATATATATATATATCCAGTGTTCTAGCATTTGTGAAAAATGCTGTCCTTCAGCGTTAAATTTCTTCAGCGCCTTTGTTGCAAATCACTTGGCATATGTGAGCTGGTCTACGTGGATGGACTCTAATAGGTACATTGATCACTGTGTCTATCTTTTTGCCAATACCATGCTAGTGTGATTGATTACTTTGTAGAAAGTCTGAAAATCAAGTGCTCTGAGTTCTTTAAATTCATTCTCTTAAAAAATAATTTTGACTATGCTAGAGCTTCACTTTTCCACATAAATTTCCACGTAAATTTTAAAATCAGCTTGTTGACTGCTACAAAATATTGCTGGGGTTTTGGTTGTTATTCCATTGAATTTATAGTTTTGAGGTTACATTTATTTAGGTTTGGTCTGGGTCATCAATGTTTTATAATTACCAACACAAATATTACACATTTCAACATTATACATTTATTTCAACACAAATATACATTTAATTAGACTGATCCTTGATTATTTTATTTTTTAGTACTGTTAATGACTTTTTAATAGATGAACTTCTAATTGAAATTTCATTTCTAGTTTACTTAATAATAGAAATAAATTGGCTTATGTATATTGATATTATATCTACAACTATGGTAAACTCATTTACTGGGTTCTACTGACTTTCTTATAGATTTCTTTGGGAATTTCTACAAAGATAGCCAAATAATCTATGAATATATAGAGAGTTTTATTGCTTGCTTTCCAATCTGTAGGCCTATTTGTATTTTTTCTCATTTTGTGCTGGCAGGACCTCCAGTATGATGTTGAATAAGAGTGGTGAAAATCATTTACCTTGTTCTTGATTTTGTGGGAAAGAAAACATTAAGCCTTTCACCATTAAGTCTGATGTCAGTTATAGGGTTTTCATGGTTTTCCTTCTTTGCATCAAACACTCATGTTTTTTCCGCTCATGATATTCATACATCAATATGTTAATATGGTGGATTGCTTTTTTTCATGGTTACCAGCCTTACATTACCAGAATGAGCACTTTGAAATAATGTTTTTTCAATTTTATATATTGTCGGATTCAACATAATAATATTTTGTGAAGAATTTGTGCATTCATGTTATTGAGAGCATATTGATCTAGATTTTTCTTTCCTAGCAATTATCCATTGACATGTTTCATCTAATTTTTTTTTCTGGACAATCTTAGCTTTTTGGCAAATTCACTTGGTCTTGCTTTTTAGTTACCTATTCCTTATAGGTATTAAGCTTTTTTCTTGAAATAAAATACGTAAAAATTATTTTGGAATTTGTCTGAGAATTCCAATTTTGTAGATTTATTTCTTCAAGTTTCAGTAGTGCTTTCTTTGTGGGTGTTCAATAATTTTAATAAGTATACTTCCCTTTTTCCTTGAAAATTATAGAAATTCTTGAGACCAAGAATGAAGGTGTGCCTTCCTTCAGTGAATTTGTTTCTGTCAGTCTTCTAAGCACTTGAGACAATGTGAAATTTAAAATTCAGCCTTATAGCTTTTAAGACAACTCTAATAATGATGTGAATTATACCACAAGTCCAGAGATTTAAATGTTTTTTAATAATAATCCTTGTCACTGGATTAAATGTTAAAAAGTAAGAAATTCCAGGTTTATGGCATGATTAACACAAGTAATAAGTGTCCTATTGACTGGAAAGGAATGGCTTTGGAGTTCAATTTTGGATATAGGTGTTTGAAATGCCCTTGTCATAGCCAGTTGGTTTTTAGCAGCTTGTTTATGAAGTAAGTTATCAACATATATCAGATATTAAAAACTGAGGTCAGGTGATGTCACTTAAGGGGAAAAGCATGGAAGAGTAAAAGGGAAGACCCAGGATCAAGTCCTGTGATATCACAGTATTTACAGGTTGAACAAAAAGAGATAAAGAAGTCACAGGGAGACCTGAAGAAGGCAAATCTTGCCTTCATTTTAGTATAAGGGATCACATTGAGCTTTTTTGTTTCCAGCTTGGTTTTTTGGAGGATTCTCACTGGGTTTCTAGCCTCTGCAATTATGCCCTTTTGATAGCTATGCCCTCAATATCTAGTCGGCTGGCAGCAGTTTCTGGGTATCTGTGCCACACTCTGGTGACCTTCAAGGTGAGAAGGGCAGTTCAGTCACAAGGAAGAGCCATGAATTAAATGCTCTGGTAGGAGACTCTAGTGCTTCTGACTTTTCCAGGCTTAGGAAGATCAGTTAGGGGTCTAGAATTGGGTCCCAGCTGGGTAGGACTAGATAATAGGCAAATCTCAAATTTCACAACTTATTAATTTTCTGTTCTGGTTTGAAAGGTACTTCCAAGCTTCCTTGTTTTGTTCTTCTACCTAAGATAGATAGCATCTCCTTTCATCATCTTACTGATTTCATTCCTCTATGATGTTAAAGTCCTTATGCAAAGCTTAGAGGTTTCTTTTCCTAAAGTTCCTTATCTGCCTGAGATGTGTGCCCCCTCATTGGGAAGCCCCCACATGTTAGAAATCCTGTCTCTGGCATTGGCATTGATGAATCCCTAGGTTAACTCAATTTCTTTCTTCCTGCAGGACGTGTAACTTTGGATCCTAAAACAGCTCATCCCTGTCTGGTCTTATCCAAGGATCTGAGAAGCATAGGACTCAGATATGTCCAGCAGCTTATATCAGGAAACCCAGGGAGATTTGACTTCAGTGCTACTGTGTTGAGTGTGGAGAGTTTTACCTCAGGAAGACACTACTGGGAAGTGGATGTAGAAAAGGCAGCAGAGTGGCAATTAGGCATATGTGAAGATTTTGCCAACAGAAAGAGTGCTGTACCCAAAGCTTCCAAAGATACAATCTTACTCACAAGATCTGTGATGGGTACCCAGTGTACCTACTGGGTCTCTCCCCCTTTGAAAAAGGTCTCCTGGAGAGAGCAAATGCACAAAGTTGGAGTTTTCCTAGACTATGAGTGGGGACAGATAGCCTTCTATGATATGACAGAGAGATCCCTCATTTATAATTTCTCTAATCTCACCTTCCATGGAGCACTCAGGCCTATGTTTTCTCTTTGTATACCAAATAGAGGCACAATTTCAGACTCTCTCAGCATCTGCCTCCCTCAGTTTCCTCCTTATAATGTTACTGTTGGCCCTCCATCTTCCTAGGTGTGAAATTGAAGGTAAGGTACCAGAAAGTCGAAAACATGACTTTATAGAAGAACTTATATAAAGTAATCCAGTATGGAATTTAGAGTACTTAACCCCTGTTCTGAATATTCCCCAAAACCTTTGCTTTCATGGCTTTCAATACCCATTTAGTGTAAAAAGCTACCTTTGAGCCCAGTCACGAATGATAATAATTGAAGGACCCTGCATGAATTAGAATAAGAAATGTATATGCAACATTAGATAAAGAAATAACCATTATGTTTTTTGCTGCTCCCCTGTCCCCCCACCTAGATAGAGAAATTAGAGTAGAAATATATCCTGAGATTCTGAGGATCAGGTTAACTCTAGAGATATTTCTGAACGCAGAATTCATCATAATCAAAGCTTTAGATTTGAGGATATCACAGTGGCATGTGGCGTGGAGACACTGTTGACATTGAGCCATCCTGTTGCTGACAGAGTCAGAAACTCCTAACACTTACATTCCAAGTAGAGAATAACTTAATTTGCATGTATATTTTTTTGTGGGAAGAACAAGGAGGTGTTATGGAAAATGTGAATGTTTTAGAATTATTTTTAAGTAACCTACTCCTTTCTTCTAAGGAAAAGTGGATTTCTTAAAAGGACACTGATAGACAGTTCAATGCTTTGAAATATATTGTAATGTCTTGTGTTTACTCTCGCCTTTGTTCAACAATCTACTGAAAAATGTTTTTTTTCCTGTAGCCTTGCTCAGGGCTATAATGCTGAGAAGATGACAAAATATTGGTAGAGAAACTTTGATGTGAAAGGTTTTTCATACTTTATTTTCCCCTAATATTTTTAACAACTTGGAAAGTGTGTATTAAACTTAAATGTAGAAACTGAGGCTTGGTGGTGTATTAATTTCATAAAGTGTAACATAGCTGTTAAGTATCTAGTAACAGAATAAAGAATTAAACCTGTATCATCATTGCAAAAAGCAAGCTGTCTTAAACTCTACTGCATAGAAACCTATTGTATAAACATGACTACAGAGGCTAGTGGTCCAATTTTATCCAAATTTTCTAAAAATACAAGCCATCTTCTCTAGAATGCAGAGGAAGCCTATATGCCTTTCTCTGTAGATAGAGACACTTTGTAGGTAGGTACTGCAGAGGCTGTGTGGACAGAGTAAAAGGGAGAAGCAAAAGGCAAATAAAAGAAAATTGCTTCTATTGACTCACAGGAACCTGACAGTTTAAAGAACTGTCTCTGAAGACTGATTTGGAATTAAGATTTGCCTTTAAATCACATAGATTTTTTTTTTTTTTTTGCGGGGGGAGTGTAAGCTTAGATGTAAGCTTAGGAAACGTTCCACATCTTCACACCACCTCACACGAAGACTTAGGGGAAAGTAGCCTGATCTGAGGAGTGGGGGGTCAGGTCAGGTGAGAGAGTTGCAAGAATGTTCATTGTGTGAAATACTGAGAGTCATAATAACTAGAGCATTGAATCTCAATCCTCCCCATTTGCTTGCAGGAGAGACTTAGTTGGGGAAATGTGAGAAATTAGTAATGATTGCTAGGATTCTAAATCTCCACCCTGATCTTGCATCAGATTTCTCCTGCCTCTGCAACCTGACTAATAACTCTTTCCCCAAATGTAAACCCAGAGACCGCTCAGCGTGGTCTTTCAATGTCCCTCTAAGACACTATTTAAATTCTCTAAGAAGAAATATCTGCATTTGATTTTGGTATTTACCATGAAGTTACAGGTGAACTTGAAGAGTTATCCGGTAGGAAGAAATCCCTAAATGGTTTGGTTTTACTGCCCTGGACAGTATTAGCCAGTCGGGTATGTAAACAATCTTATTTTAACATTCTTTTGTTTTCTTGATGATCTGTATAAACTGCTTCTTTTTACTCTTGGAAACTGGTTCCCTCACTAATTGCTGAGTTGAGCAAAATTGTTGACAGGTATCCACCTGTATTTCTGTGAAGATCATGTTTTTAAACCTTAGAAAGTACTTCGACATAACCTTCTGACTTGAATAAACTTGTCCAATGCCTCCTTCCCGCCACAAAGGCTTTGCAAATCCAGTTCCCTGTCCTTCATGTGTCTTTTCCAGAAATGGCCACTATAGTGCAGAAAACCACAATACTTTATGGAAAAATCATTTTATGGGCTGGAGCCAGAAGGGAGCCCAGGCAATTGTGAGAGCAGAAAAGTGGAAGGCAGACAAGGGGCATGGGTCAGCATCCTCACCACTGATGCAACCCAGGCTGTACTGTGCAGGGCAAGCTCTGGCGTCCTTGTCCCCTGCACAGGACATAATCACTCCCACCTGGCGAAAGTTTGAGTCAATTGATTGGACAGAAGGTGGAGAGACAAATCTTTGGAAGTGAGTGCCTCCAAGCAGGAGAGGGAAAATGGTAGGGACTGCTGCTCTGGTCATCCCATTTTTAGCTATGTCCCCTCTGGCTAAGCCACAGCACAACACTCAGAAATTTGAGTCCCAGGACTGACTTCCGTGATCTCCTCCCAGTAAGCTGCAGGTGGATGGAATGCAGCAGAAAAAGCACTGGGTGAAGCCTGGGTCCCTGCACTGGGAAGAGCTGGGTTTAGGAAGGGATTGTTTGGTTGGGTCTGGCTTGGTGGAAAGGATCTCAGTTGAAGCATCTCTTTTTTTCTTTTTTATAACTAATTCTGACTCATTTCACTCTTTCATGTCACCCTCAAAAGAAATCTTCCCTTGATATCCTTAAGAGTGAATCCTGGGACATCATTGCATCAATTACAGCTTCTTTTTTTTTTTTTTTTTGTCTTATTTTATTTTTTTTTTTTTTTTTAAGATTTAAAACTGATGTTCTTGTTTTATTTTTTTTTTTTTTTATAAATTTTATTGTTATATTCCCCATACAATTGCAGCCCCCCCCATTCTGACCCCAATCCCTCCCCTCCCGCCCCCGCCCCCCTAAAAGTGTCTCTGGTTCATAGTTTTTTGTTGATTTTGATTTTCACTTTCTTATAGTTATTCATTTTCCTGGTCCCTTATTTAAGTTTTCTAGATTCCTGCTATGAGTGAGACCATCCGGTATTTTTCTTTTTCTTTTTGGCTTATTTCGCTGAGCATGATCCCTTCCAGCGCCATCCATGTTGCTGCAAATTGCATGTGTTTATCTTTTTTGAATGCTGAGTAATATTCCATGGTATATATGTACCACATCTTCTTGATCCAGTCATCTATTTTTGGGCATTTGGGTTGTTTCCAAAGCTTAGCTATTGTAAACAGTGCTGCTATAAACATAGGGGTGCAGGTGTTCTTTGGAATTGATGTTTCTGTGTCCTTTGGGTAAATACCTAGGAGTGGAATTGCTGGATCATATGGAAGCTCTATGTTTAGTAGGTCCAGAAATCTCCACACAGCTCTCCACAGTGGTTGGACCAGTTTGCACTCCCACCAACAGTGCAGAAGAGTTCCTTTTTCTCCACACCCTCGCCAGCATTTGTTGTTGCTAGTTTTTTTAATATGTGCCATTCTCACTGGTGTAAGATGGTATCTCATGGTAGTTTTGATTTGCATTTCCCTGATGGCAAGTGATGTTGAACATTTTTTCATATGCCTGTTGGCCATTTGCATTTCCTCTTCAGAGAAGTTTCTTTTTAGCTCTTCTGCCCATTTTTTGACTGGATTATTTTCTTTGTTGTTGTTGAGTCTCATCAGCTCTTTGCAGATTTTTGTGATCAGTCCTTTATCATTAGTGTTGGGTGCAAAAATGTTCTCCCAGTCAGTGGGGTTTCTCTTTGTTTTTGTTATTGTCTCTTTTGCTGTGCAGAAGCTCTTTAATTTGATGTAGTCCCAGCTGTTTATCTTTGCCTTCACTATCACTGCTTTGGGTGATGTGTCTGTAAAGATGTCTTTGATGTGCAGATCACGTAGTGTTTCGCCTATATTTCCTTCTATATATTTTATGGTTTCAGGTCTTATGTCTAGTTCTTTAATCCATTTTGAGTTGATTTTTGTGTATGGTGTGAGGTAGTGGTCAAGCTTCATTCTTTTGCATGTAGCGACCCAGTTTTCCCAGCACCATTTATTGAACAAACTTTCTTTGCTCCAATGCATAGTCTTTGCTCCTTTGTCAAAGATTAGTTGACCATAAATCTGTGGATTTATTTCTGGATTTTCTATTCGATTCCATTGGTCAATTACAGCTTCTTTTTATGCAAAACTTACTTGCAGTTTTGTGTTTATTTGGGTAATTGTTGAGTTACCTTCCCTGCTAGACTGAACCCCGTCAGTGTAAAGACTGTGTTTGTTCATCCTTTTGTCTGCTGTTGAACTGTCCCTAGGACATAAGTTAGCTGAGGTACAGTGAATTAAGACTTCTTGGGTGGGGGATGACAGTTCAGGCAACAGCAAGCGTGTTGGTATGAAAATGGTTGTTCATGTGCAGCAGCAGGGTCACACATTTTGTCTATACTAAGTAAGCTGAGGAGTTTTTAATATCTAGGCCACCCCTGCTCCCCCACCAATTATATCAAAATCTCTGGGGTTAAAATGCAGGCATTGCTTTTCCAAAGCTCCCTGTGTGATTACAACATGCAGCCAAGATTAAGAAAGTGGAGGTGGAGCCAAGGAACAGAAAACAACTGGTTTAGTCAGTGTGGCTTGCAAATCTTAAGTCTTAAAATGTAAAGATGGGGTGATAGTATTGGGGAGGTGGACTATTTGGTCACAGATTAGAGTGAGCTATGTAGACCTCCCCTTAGTGATGATAAGCACATGTTATTCATGTGATTTGGAACTGCAGAGCTTGCTTTTTAAGTGTTGGTGAAAGTATGGAGAAAACAGCCCTTGTGTACTGTGGGTGGGAATGTAGACTGGTTCAGCCCTTATGGAAAAAGTATGGTGTTTTCTCAAAACATTAAAAATAGATCTTCCAGATGATCAGCAATTTCACTACCTGAAGAATGCAAGAACACAAATTCCAAGAGACATCTGCATGCCTATGTTCATTGCAACACTATTTACAATAGCCAAACTATTTAAGTGCCCTAATGGAGATGAGTGGATCAGGGAGATGTAGTATATATACATAATGGAATATTACTCAGTTATATTTAAAATAAAAAGGTACAATCTTACATTTGAGACAACATGCATGGGACTGAAGGGGATTATGCTAAATTAAATCAGAAGGACAAAGACAAATACTCGATTATTTCACACATGGAATATAGAGAAACAAAACAAAGAGCACAAGAAATTAAACCATTGCAAGAGCAAAGATCAGAGGAGACCTAAATGACTATGGTGGGTGATGATTGGTGATTTGGGTAGTGGTAGTGGTATGGAAAAACATTTGAAAAGGTATGACCCTATACCTCTAGATCATATATAATACTGTAAATCAAGTCACCACAATAAAAAATAATTAAGTAAAAAAAAGTTGGTTACTTAAGATATAACTGGAAATGGCTTGCAGGAATTAAGTCCTTGTTATCTGAGTCTGGGAGGAGCCTCCAGTGATTTGGAACCCCTGGGGATATCTCACCACACTGGGGAGATATCTACCCCTGAAACATTTTTTACATAAGTGTACCTTGGGGAGAAAAAAACCCTAAAAAATCCAATTCTATTTTTAGTTATGACTTGGAAATAGCTCTCCACAAATCTGAAGGGAAGTCGGGCTGTGCAATTCTTTATAACTGAATGACTGACAGATTTCTGATTCAGGAATTAAGGGGGGAACACTCAGAAAGGGCCCACAGCTCTTAACCATTTATGCCTTCAGTTGAGAAAA